ACACTAAGTATTAATGCAGTTGGGGGTTTGGCAGCCGCATTATAAATAACAAAGAGAGTAAACATAAAGGCGTGAAGGAAGAAGAAATATTGTAAAGACCTGGTTTTGCCAAAAGCATACTGAATGCATGTTTAAAGTTTATGTCGGATTGATGTACTTGACTAGTTTGAATAACTGTTTGCTAAACTCTTATCTTACCTTTATTTTGTATCTGTACAGAAAAGTGTATCTTAGCAGGACGGAAACGGTAGCGTTCCTTCCTCTGCCTCAGGCTTCAATGGAGAAGTGACAACAAATAAAAACTAACTCTGCTGTATGAACATATGTAAAAACAACAAAATACAGCCGCAAGCAATAAGTTCTGCCATTTTCCCCTCCTTCATCGATAAAAAAAATGGCATTTTAAAAAGTATATTTTCATATATAATATAGATATCTATTATTTTGGCAAAGATAATCGGGACAGGAAATGTTCATATCGTCCCATGCCTGCAGGAGGAGTACCTCCAGTACAACCCAGACCTGAATTAAACAGGATCATTATTATTCTCAGTGGGGTTTCAAAAGGAATTTTGGGAAATGTAGTACAGCATTAACTGATTGATATGCAGGCAGAAAGCGGGTAAATTAAACCACCATGCTGTGTTTGATCAAGGGCACCTTGTCTGGCTGCTGAGGGAGCACAGAGCGTTACTCATTGGCTTTTATTGAATTAGCATCCTCACCATCTCAATTTGTCTTCTTTAACCCTCTAACGTTGCCTTCAGAGACAAACTGGCACACAGCAAAGTTGCGGGATTACAGGAAAGCATGTCCTCGCTTGTAAACAGACACATTTATGGAGGTTGGAGCTTTTGGCCCACTGCGTTGTGTCCTGCTGTGTCCTCTTTGGCTAAAACTCTGTGAAAAACACAAGTTCTGAACTGCTCTTCATCCCAAATATAATGTTCCTGCTGTGCGCTCAGAGTCTTATGCCACTTACCCAGAAAACGGATTATTCCTTCTGAGAAGAAGAAAAAGAAGAAGAAAAGGTGAGAGAGAGGGACTCCGCCAGATGGGAGGGAAGGCAGAGCAACATTGACAAAAGAAAAGAATAAAAAAATAAATGAAAAACAAAGGGCAAAAAGACAAGATTTCTAAAAAGAGGTGAAAGAAGTGAGGAGAATGAAGGAGAACAAAAAAAGAGGGGAGATTAGGAGAGAAGAGGGGGAAGACGATGTGAGACAAAGAGGAAGGGAGGAGGTGAAGATGAGAGGAAGCCAGGAGAGGAGGTGAGATGAGGAGTCAGCAGAGGACAGAGGGAAGGGAGGCATTAGTGTCGTGTTGGGAGGATCAGTCTGGTGCTCCTTTGATGTCTGCAGCAAGAACACACACCTATACACACTAACACACACCTATACTGTACAGGGTAACACACACAGTTACACACTGTAAGACGTCCTGCAGAGGGAATGCAACCTGTGGATTCAAAACCAGCAGGCTGAGAAAACTACAGAGACACAAACAGGAAGTCACCCATCAGAGAGCTCAACCCCACAGAGCGAGAGAGAGAGAGAGAGAGAGAGAGAGAGAGAGCAGCACCTGTCACACACACACATTGTTGTTTTTAGCTGCAGTGGATCAGACATGAATCTACCTGCCTCCTGTTCTCTGCTATTAGCTTAAAGCCCTAACAACTGTGGTTGTATACTAATTAGCCATAAAAAATATGCACTGAACATCTCATACTGCACAGCATCTTCCAAGTGTGCTCTGAGACGAGGTGTTTTTCTCTGGAGTTCACTTTGCTCACTATACAAGTCGCGCAAGATGCTGCAAATTACACAACCCCCCTCATGTGAAAGCGGGCGTCAGTGTGTACACTGCAATGAGAGGATGAAGCAGAACTATCCTTCTGGTTACGAAAAGAGAGAAAAAAGGTAAACGTGTGTTCTCTTCTCTCCAAGTTTGATGTCAGTAATAACTGAGGTTAAGCTGATGTGCAGCTTGCAGTGCGTCTCTTTACTCTGTCTGTCTTACTAACAGCTGCACATCAGCAGCAACGTCTCTGTGGACCAAACAATATATGGCACTCCTCATAGCCACACAGTACCAAAAAAAGCTGGCAATAAGGATGCACAGCTTTCAGTATTGAGCCTAGCCATAGTATACATAAAACATTTGTGTAATATTGTATATTAAAAGGACTAAATACCAGGCAGCAGAGCCAAAGCCCAGAGTTCTATTTTATTATTTTCTACATTTCTTTATTTGTTTATGTGAATGTTAATATTCACTTATGTTAAGATTCTATACCAAAAGATTCAATAAATATTGTTTGTACCCTATTCTGTTCTGTAGAGGTGTTTTAAATAGAGGAAAGATTGTAGCACTGGGCTGTCAGGTGTGACTGCCTTACATGGCTCATGGATCAGGTAGGACCGGTCAGGGGGGGTCAGGGCCCGCTGAAGTAAAAGGAGAGTGAATTTTGGAGACAAGTGGAACTGATGATGTTGCTAAGTGTTAATGTGTAAGCTAACATTTTGATAATAATGAGACTTTAATTGTGTGTGTAATGTTCATGAATCAATGAGAGAAGACCGCCGTGCTACATGTTCCTCAAATCATCCTCGGTTTGAGTCCCACTATAACCTCCTCCGCTGCTTCTGATGAAAGAAAGCCTGACTGAAGGAGGGACGGACTGCCAGCTCGAGAACAGAGGACACGCAGACCTCTGATCCTCTTCAGCCTCTGTAGAGACTGACAAACCTTCCAGACAAAATGAGAATATTTCAATCCACAGAAAACCCCCACAAAAGAAACCCTTCCCATCCATGCGCCAGCGCTGCTGTTCCACGTTTCACACACACACACGTTGAACACAGGATCCCCTTTGTTAAGAACCTACATGCTTATCTGCTCTTCCACAAGTCACTGACACCTTCTGGACAGTCGGTCGATATGCTCTTGTCTGACCAAATTCTCACCGGCCCATGGTTCTTCCGTTTATTCCATGTCTCTGTACGACCATGAAGTGAAACCATTCAGCTTCAAGTTGAGCACAAATCTTACCTGACAACTCTTACCTGTCAGACACTTCTTGAACCCGAATCTTCCAGCCTCTTTGACTCTGTGCTGTATGTGTGAACAGTCTTCAGCCTGAAGCACTTTGAGACACCCATTGTGGCTCACTGGCTCATTGTTAGCTCATTGATCAGTTATTGAATAGTTACTAACCTTGGTGATCAGTGGACCAGTGTCTCCATCTTTGTTTCTGAGGGAAAAGCAAGCTTATAAAATCCAAATTAACATTAATATATTAATGACTTTAAGGATTAATAATAGCATCATAAACATATTTATGTATAAGACATTTATAAGCATTTATAAGAAACTTGTTAACAGTTTATAGGCTGCTTAAGAACGTTAATAAAAGTCTTATGACCTTCTTATAAATGTTTATATGTCAATCAATACAAAAACATTTATTGATTTAGACGTACCCAATAATCTCATTGTTAAAGCTTTACTAAGCTGTTTTGTTGCTTTATTTAGATTTCTTCATTCTTTATCATGCATTTATTATCAGATAATTATTGACTTATTAACAGTTAACTATGCACTAACTACAACCTTAACTGTGCTTCTGGGGGGTAATGGATCTAAAGAGGGAACAATGCTAATTAAAGTTGCATACGTAATTGTGCACTTTCACACAAGTGGTGAGGCACAAGGAGGACTTCTGGGTAGTGATGACGCCATGTGACGGTAACGGGTTGGGGTTGTATGACTGCTGTCCTGTGTTTCGTTTTCTAACCCATCAGCTTCATGGACGGGATTAAAGTATTGAATCTGAACAGAAAAGTTTTACCAATGTTACCAATTAAGGGCCTAACTAACTAACTGTCAGGGTTATTGGTTCAATTCCCCATGTAGTTCAATGGATTAGCTGCTATTTAGATTAAGGAGATGTGTGCTTCCTTTGAAGTAAAGTGTCCTCCATCTGATACATGTATGTTATGGCACATCATATAAGTTGTTTTCTGCACAGAGAATATATGTGATAAAGTTTGCACAAAGGGCTCGTGTGTGTGTCCTGAAATCGTAAGGACCCTCCTGAAAAGGTGAAGCTTTAAAGTGAGTAAGGAAATAACCAAAAGCACAGAAGGTATTAGGAGTGCAGATGACAGCATGACAGCAGTGCAGTCACCCTTCTCTGTCTCTAAGCAATAATCTTCTTTCTTCCAGAAAAACATTTTCATCTTCCCGCCTGAGCTCTTAAGTCATCAGTCAGACTCTACTGAAAGAAAGAAGCTTCTGCAGTCTTCTTCACAGTGGTGGACGTCCTACCAGGACCTCATCATCCTATTTAAACAACTGCTGTGCTTTAAAACTGCCACTGATTCTGTTTGACTCACATTCATTCTGCACAGTATCATTTTCTTTTTAAGGTCTAAGGATAGATGGTAGGATGCTGTACGGACTGTAAAGCCCCCTGAGGCACACTGATTTGTTATTTTGGGCTATATAAAAACTCTTTATGATCCAGTTTTACACCAGCAAATAAATACATTATTAATGCAAATATATACATTCAGTGGGAGTCCTGGTGGCATATTATCTTATATAATCTCACTTAGAACCCATTGTAGTCTAATAGCATGCCTCGCAGTAAATGCATATTTAGTTGTGATAGTTCTCCTTGTGATGTCGTCCTGCTGCTCAGCCTCAACTCACAACAGCTGCCATTAGCAAGTTTTCTTAGTTAGCAGCTAGCATGCAGCTAGCTGTCCCATTAGCTGACTCAAAGGGACATCAGAAGGAAATCAGTGAATAAAGTAACAAAGTTGTGTTTTTGTTTTCTAACCAGTGAGATTAGCATTTTTTCAACCTAATTTTTGTCTCATTTGTGTAGCATATTGCTTTTTTCCAAGATACTATTAGTCAGTTAGCGGTGCTCACGAGCACTGGTTGCTGCCATAGACTGTATAATTAATGTTGACGTGTCTCTGTGAAGTCACCCAGAGGTTTCTGAGGAGCCGTTGTGACGCTCAGTGTCGTCGGTTCTGGACGTCGCCATTTTGGCAATCCTGACTCGGATAATCCAAAAATGGGTAAAGAAGAAGAGAGTGTGGGTGGAACTGAGGAGGGCTGAATGAAATACTGTCACAGCACCCAACTGTCACTCAAAGCAGCCATGCCCTTAATTATGCATAACTTTAAGCCTTAATACATTTACAGTTTTTTTCAATTGTTTACACGCAATTTTGTCAAAATATAATCACAATTATCCAAACACCACACTCAATTTGCATAATTCCTAGATTGTTTGCAAAATGACACACTTCAGTCAAAACATACACATATTTGTGAAAATGCTATTAGTTTTCATTTAACCAACACAGTCCTCAATGATCAGACACTATTGCAGCCAGTTTCACACTGCTGCGATAAATAAAAAACACATTTTAGGAAATAGCATGTACTAGATTTTTGGCCAGACATTGTTATGTAAGGGATAATTTAGATGTCATAAAAAATAGTGACAAACCCACAACATTCTTCATGATTAGTTTGAGATATAGGGAGAATGTACACAAATAGGCCTACTATAAACTTACCAAGCACTGCACAACACTGATGCTGCAGACTGAATATTTCAAGTATTCATTTCAATACTTACAGTATTTCTTACCATAATCAGTTACAGTAATCAACCAACAATGAAATCAATGAAACAAATAAAATCTGTAGACAAATAAAAATTACTGCATGAAGTACACACACTTTGACTCTGAAGAAAAACTAATTGAGCATGGCGTTAGTTCAGGCAGGGCACGAAGTCAGGCTTAGCTTTCAGTTACAGCTATATCATACGAGCACAGCTAGTCATAAACATACATCAGCTGATTCCTCTAAGCTTCCCATTGGATACCATACACAGTCAGCTGACAGCTCACCTGATTTCCTCAAGCATCCAATTGGCAAACATCATGCATGGCGCCTTATTTAAGCTGCTTTAGCCTGCCTGCCTATCTCTGCTGCTCCCTCTACAAGCCTTTTGCACCCACCTCCACCCCAGCTCCTCCTTTTTATGTTGTTTCTAATTAATCAATGTCATTTTCTGATTGCCATTGATGCTTGCTCTGTTCTGTACCTTGGGGTGTGCTCTCCCTGCCTTAAGGTTTTCCACGTAGGCACGCGGAAGGACAAGGAGGTCCCAGAACAGAGCCATACCGCCAAATGTAACATTCTGCTTGGAATATAAGATATTTTGACAAAAGTGGTCCTGACTGAACTGTAAAAGCAGGTCTGGCTGAGTGCTGCGTTTTCAAATTAGCACATGTGTGCTTCCACACCTGGTGGATGTGATTATCCAATTTGTTCATTAGTGTGGTCATTGGCAGTCCGGGGCTTTGTAATGAAAGGAAGTAACCTCACAATCCTTATCTGTGTCTAAGGTGTGAAAATGTGTGTAGAGTTTTACAAATCACTGTGTGTAATGTTTAGCAAAAAGGGTGAAGCAGACATTGTGTGTAATGTTGTGCAAATCTGCGGAGGTGTTTTGCTCCTTGGAGTAGAATTTCGCAAATTATGTGGACATTTTTATTTTAGTGTGTAAACAACAACAAAAACTGTAAACAAACATTTTCTGCTGTAAAGTTGGGCATTTTAATATAGGGTCTTATGGAGATTGACTCACTGCTGGAACCCTTCCCCTGTGCAGGCCTCCAGTGGGCTTTTGGGGGGGGTTAAAGAGACAGGAGCAAAAAACGGCTTGTTTCAGACAGGGGATGAACTGAGGGCTCCATAACGGGCCAGAGTACAAGATACATTAGAACAAATACTGTGAATCATGCAAAGCTACTCTAGTATAGTCCAAAAGTAAAAATATAAAGCTAGAAGCGAGCATAATATGTCCCCTTTAAGTTAAAGGAAGACAAGTGTGTAAGGCTTAATTGCCCCGTCTGTCCTTGATTGCACTTTGCTGCTTTAATTGCCTTTTTGTGGACTTATTCCCTGAGCTGCTTTAAGTGCCCTTTGTCACTTTAAATGTCCTGTGCTGCCTTAAGTGCTCGGTGGAATAAAAAGGGCTTTTGTTAATCTCTGAGTAATATTGAATAATAGCAGGAATAGCTGTGTGTGTGTGTGTGTGTGTGTGTGTGTGTGTGTGTGTGTGGTGGTGGCAGGTTTTAGGCATCTTGCAGATTAGAACAGAGCTTGCAGGGCTGAAACAGTTTGAAGTTTGGATCCTCTGACTGCAGTTTGAAGATCAGTCCAAGGATGACTTCTTAAAGGCCCACGGCCAGTGTGCCCTTGAGCCAAGAATTAGTTCTGAAATTCTCCTTCAGAGATACTTACTTGAACCTTTCTTCCACTCTAAAGTCATGCACTTGATCTGGGGGGGGTCATTTCAGGTCATCAGAGCAGATCTTTGGGTAAAACATTCAGCACAAGAGGGAGAAACAAAAGGGAAAGAAGTCAGCCTCCCATTTAAAAAAAACCCTTTAACAATCATTCTCTGAATTTGCTAAGTGACCTATTTTCACTTTCTGGGGTGTGGTGCTCTCAACACTGAAGGAAGAATTCTCCAGTTTTTATCAGAAATATAATATGCATAACTGTGTTTTCATTAGTGTATAATGACCTGAGCCTTTTTTATCTACAGCTGGGTCGCCTTCCATGGAGTCCGCCATGTTGAACCGCCATGTTTCTGCTCCCAGAAGGGGCGGACCAAACACTGGCTGTAGATTGGAAGGAGAGGGTGAAGTGAAAGAGTTGCAATCACCTCCACATGGAAACATTGAGTGGGAAGTTCTTTTTAAGATCTTCACTTGATCTGTGTTACTGCTGACGCCTCAGTTGTGTCTTTGCACAGAATGTGAACTGATTTAGTCGACAGCAGAAGAAAATATTGATTCATTAATTTCCAAACACCACAAACCTCATCATCTGAAAGTCTCCTTCATAATTCAGACATTCTTTGACTAAGAACTTAATTTACTCCAATTTACAAAGCGCCATATGTTGTCACTAGGGATTTCTGTAAGAGCAGGTGTGTTTGTTTTTTTCCAAACATTTAAAATCTCACTTTTAGCCCAAACACTTATATTCCTCTGTGATTTGAACCCGTAGAGCAGCATTAGTTCAGGAAGCCTGCAGTAAAACGTACTGCGTCCACATCTGTGCCGCCCATTGAACAGCTTGCATCGGGCTTTTTAGACAAACACATTGCTTTCAATTCAATTCAATTCAATTTTATTTGTATAGCGCCAATTCATAACAGAAGTTATCTCAGGACACTTTTCAAATAGAGCAGGTCTAGACCGAACTCTTTAACATTAATTACAGAGACCCAACAGTACCACCATGAGCAAGCACTTGGCGACAAGGGCAAGGAAAAACTGCCTGTTAAAAAGGCAGAAACCTAGGACAGATCCTCCGGCTCTAGGTGGGTGGTCGTCTGTCTCGACCAGTTGGGGTGAGAGAGAGAGAGAGAGAGAGAGAGAGAGAGAGAGAGCGACAGACAGACAGACAGGTGCACAGCAATGTTGACTTCCCCCAGCACTGCTAACAAGCAGAGCCTGCTGTCAGTTCTCTCAACATCCAAAACAGCTGGCATGAAAAGTTTCTGTTTTGGATGTCCTGTAAAATGGAGTGGCACCATGAGCTGAGCCTCTTAAAATGAAAGAAAGAACAGAGTGGACTAAAAACAAAAGGAGAAGAACCAAGTTTGGCAGCTTCAGAGGGGTCAAGCAGAGTTTGGAGTTGTCAGTATTCAGACTGTGGGAATAATGCAGAGTAAAAAAAAAAAACGCCTGTCACAGGAAGAACACAGAAAGAGTGTGAGTGGAATTCACTTTCAAATCGTCAAATATTATTGCTTCAAATATGACACTGAAGATAACCTGCTAGTATCATGTCTGGATGACACGTCTGCGACATGGTTTGGCTTCGTCATCGCCATCTTCAGATCCCACGGAAAGTTAGAAGCGGAAGTAGTAGTCTCCTAATGGTGCTGGCCAGGGAACAGGGACCCTCTCATGTTAGCCATTCTTTGTTTGCTCTGTTTTTGTCTCAACACTGTCTCCCCATGTGTCCATCCACTTGACAAAAAGCACACAGCTGAAATCCACTTTGGAGATTCGTTGCACCCCAACTTGTCCCTCCCTGTATGTGCCATAAGCACCAAATCCCAGCTGAAAGAAGCGTCTGAAGAGGACAGGACTTGTGGAAAAGTTGTCACTATATATTGTGTATCCAGAGGCCAGGATGTCCTTGTTGACAAGAGATGTGACAGAATCAAGAGAGAGGACATTCACAGTTGCAAACTTGCTTGGCTCGATGTGTAGAGTCTGAAGTCACATGTTTTCTGTGTGATTCCCCACTTTATTGCCTTGGTCTTAGTGTACTTGTGGGGACCATCCTCTCATCACAAAGATGTTGTGTCTGCGGTGGTAGGTGGACAGGCTTTAGTGTCTTATTCTGCTCACGTCCTCAACCACCTACTAAACCCACTGCAAAAAGGAATCTCAACAAAGATTGAAAAAAAAGGACAAAATAATTCTGTCAAGCATGATTGACATTGGATTATTTTAGTTCTTTAGAAAATATATCTAACTTTGTCTTAATAAGATATTACAGCTAATACTGAACTTGATTTGACAAGTAACGGTTTGCATAATATCCCAGCAGAGGAGAAAGATTATTTACTTGTTCTCAGGCCAGCTGACAGTCTTGCCTGGGCCCAGGACGAGATAATCTTAGATGGGGCCCCCCACGCCCAGATCTTTCCTTTTCCTCTGCTCTTCCTCTCCTCTGCTCTTCCTCTCCTTCCAATAACAATGTTTGTGTGCACGGTTTCTTTCATGTTCTGGAAATCTCTCATAAAGCTTTCAGTAAATTTCTGGAATTTAGTGCACTAGTTGACTTTTTCTCTACTTCAAAGGAGAACAGCAAGCATGGTAGGCAAAATAAGGCCTTTTTTGAGCTGCTATACTATCCAGTCCCTATCGATTTTTTCCCTTCCATTGTGGGATGTGGAATATGTCAGATAGTTTGGGAATTCCCTGCCCTCTG